GGGGGGGAGAGGGGATCCTATTTTTCTTATACAAGCTAACCTTGAGGGAGAGCATTTCTCCCATACTTCATGCTAATAATTAATGGCCAAATGCTGTGCCTATCTATCCTCTCTCCCAGCCAAAGATTAACTAATCAACTAATTTAACTAATTTTCCCCATCTTACTGATAGAGAAAGGAAGGCCCACAGAGAAGTCACATAGCAAGGTCATATAGCAAGTCAGCATCACCACAGGGATACCTTTTGGGGGTTTCTTTATTTCAGAGTTTAATGGCCAGACTGTGCATTAGTCAAACTGCAGAAAATGGCTATAATACAGATGGGATAACCCCATCAAATGTGAGAGGCAGAGAAGAGTGGCCTTTTTCAGTCTCTTCCCATGGCTACATCATCCCTTCAAGCAGGAAATTAGCACAGCAAAGCCCTGGTGCAGCCCCATGAATAATGCTTAAATAGCAGCAGCACCCACTTACTTGGCTCTTAAATACTTAAAAATCATTGTAAATGATTAATTACTTTGTGCAGGGATTGACAAAATAAATAGGCAGCTCTTAAATGGTTGCTTGAACGCAACTTGGTTCAGCACGTAGCATAATTTAATTATTTAGTAACTCTTATTAATTTAAGGTAGCTAATTGTATAAAAGGGCTACCGTGAGATTTAAAAAACCCATAAAATAAAACAACCTTTGCCCTTCCTCCTCCTCCATTGATTCTCCAAACCTGGAGAATGTCTTTTGCAGTCTTGAGTTGCTAGAATCCTTACAAAATTGACATTTGATCAAACAAAAAATATTCAGAATTCCCTGCCTGTTCCCTTCACACAGGAGCAAAGAACTCCATGTATTTTCAGGAGAGCATTAGCAGTAGCTGTCAACACTGGAAATTGTCTAGCAGTCATGCATCTAGGAAGGCTGGGCAGATTATTACTCAGATTGTTCTAGGAAGCCTCCAATGACACATTTTGCTAAACTCTGCAAAACATGAATTTACCCCACACGAAGCTTATAATAAGAGCCTGTGTCCTAAACCAGTGCTGGTGGCTTTAAAAATAGGTTGGTTTTAATCTCCTCTCCCCCCTCTCTTTTCAATGTAACAGCACCTTATGTCACATTGGATTTCCTGATGGAATTACTTCTTGCAGTCGGGCTATCAAAGGCCATGAGTCTGTTTACCCCTCCATGTTAGAAAATGAGAGAAAGGTAAACATACTTCATCTCAGAGGCCAATACACAAGTGGTTTACCTACTTCCTCTGCATTTTTTTCAGATCCTACAAAAAGCTGAGATGCACACTTTGACTTAGGTTTAAATTGTTATAATTTCATGCATACTCTTCATTTTCTCTGGGCCATATCCTCGCCCTGCATAAGGAAGGTTTTTTTCATCTTAGGGTGTTTACAGACATGTTCTGGGAGGTGGGGGGAGGGAGGATGTGCTTTAATTGGCAAGCCATGCTAAAAAGTGCCCAATTGTCATATGTATCAGCATCTTGTGGCAGGGTCTTCACTTTCAAAGGCTCTGCCCCAGCCCCACATCATGCCGCATTCAATATGGAAACATCATCTCTCACCTCTGATCGGCTCATGTCACCAGACTGCATTGCCCAGCTCTTAAACTCTCAAACAAGGGCATTTGTGCCTTCTCCTGCTGCCCCTTCTGGCTGGGAGGAGTTCACCACAAATACTGGAAAACCACCTAAGCCGATTCCATCAGACTCCTCCCTCGGGCTCTCCTTTGCCACCCAGCTGACAAAAACCATAATAGCCTGCCTCTGTGCCATACTGACCACTTTGCCAGACTGGTTCTTAATACTGCCCCCTTGGTCTCTCTTTGTCTCCCCTGGTGTCTTCTCCTGTTGGCTCATGGCTTCTACTGCGAATGGGCTCTATACACGTGCAGGGAGGCTGCTTCGATGTGTTGTAATTACTGTGTTCCAGGAGACTCCAGCATCATGTGTATCACCGTCCCTGCACTGAAAAATGGCAGCAGCCCACTTTGAAATAAAACTCATTTGACAAACTTTAGTCAAAGCACCCCACCGCCATTTCTTAATGGAGGGTGCTGATGCACGTGATGCTGGATGCTGCTGGAGTGCAGTAATTTTCATGCTTCAGCAGACTTGATTCCTTGATTAATCAAGTCTGCTCCAGTGCACTGGATTCAGTGCGACAGAGCAGCCTCCCTTGTGTGTATGTGTCCTTAATCTTAATGATTAATGTGGAGGTTTTCCTGATACAACAGCAGAGCCAGGATAGCCAGCCCTGTACCATAGAGCTGCTTAAGTCCCAGCCATTCCGAGCTGCAGAGTGGTTCCTCAGATCTGTTGCAGTCAGGCAAAATTTAGCACATCCCTTCCTGAAGCTAGGGAACCAACTGACCCTGTAGTGCTGACAGGCTGCTGAAGGGTGCTGCTCTCTGCCTTGTGCTGCTACAAGTCCATAAGCTTGAATGTTGGGTTTTGGCAGTCTGATGTTTAATCTGCTCCTCCACAGCAGAGATGCTGCATAAGAATACTTCTTTCTTCCAGAAGCTGGTAATTTCCCAGTCCTGCAGTTTCAAGGGGCTGCACCTTGTAGCTGACAGCATCCCTGATGATGCTGTTGTATGAACAAGGAGGTCAGTGGAGCCAGGTTTACTTCTCTTGAGCTTAACAGTGACCAGACAGTAGATGCAAACCCTTTCTTTTATGCTTACCCTGGAGCATATTGAGGAGCTAAAATCACTTGCTCTATTCTCTGTAGATCAGTCACAGTGCAGTAGATGTGATCATGTGCTCCACAGTGGTGGGGTCTTTTATTTAAGAGTTAATGCTTCTTGAAATTGTTCTTGTTACCACTGGGCAAATATATCACAACTCTATAGCACTTAACAGGAAGAAAATAGGTTTTGAATTGATAGGTGGGAACCGTATAGAGAAGTGTGACACAGCCTTCCATGACAGCCGAACATGTAGATGTCATTACTGCAGCCCTGCAAAGGGAGACTTTTTTGCATTGTGTACTTTGTGGGGAAAGTGGATTACATAAAATTTTCAGGGTAGTGCTATAGTTACCAATATTTATTGTGTGGGAAGGAGAATGGTGCTTTTCACAGAACACATGCTTTTCTTTGAATCCTGAAAGGTATGAACATTTGAAATAAATAACACAGATTGAAAAAGGTCTCTGTGTGGTTCCATGGGTTACATAAGCAATGTACATGCATAAAAGTCTTTCTTTTGCCCAGAAATTCAAGTATGTTAGAAAGTTTTCCTGGTCAGGCTGCCCACAGAAGAAAAATAAACAGAAAATGTATGTTTGTGTACAAAAACACACAACAATATTGTGCATTGTGGCATTAGCAACTGGCTGTTGAAATGCTGTATGGTCCTTGATCCTGCAAGAGGTCTAAATACATAAGTCTTTTCTAGCTGAGGAAATGGAAAGGTGACAGACTTGTGTGCATTTTTCCAAATCAACATGTAAGTATCAAAATCCTGTTGAATTCAGCTGAGTGCTGGTTATGAAGAATCACTTGATGCACATCATTCCCCCATTACCACCAGATATCAGATCCTCCCTCTTTAGGAATGGTTATTGAGAAGATTGTGAAAGAAAAGTACTGTACTGCATTCCTTTGAGTCTTTGCCAGTTTTTGTATTAAGCCTGCCTGTGAAACAGAGGCACTGTTAGGATCCATGATTGATCATGTCCTGGACCAAAGGTGGGTGCCCATATGGAGATGCCTATCACTAGGTTTTGAAATAATTTGGAACAAGGTGTTTGAAATATCTGCAGGAGATCTGCTGAGGTCAAAAATATTAATTTTTCATTGAGTCTCCTCCTTTAGAGGTCTGTGTGTGGTGTTGGGTAGCTGTTTTTGTAGCTTAGGTATCCCTCAAGTGGAGGCCAACAGCATTTCCATTCTGTTGCTTTTCATAGTATCATAGGGAAGTCAGGCTGGAAGGGACCTCCAGAGGTCATCTAGTCCAACTCTGTACCTGAGGCAGGATCATCTCTATCCAAACCATCTGATGCAAAGCCATTGTCTTAGCAAAACCACAGTCAGCTCTGACACAAGACAGTGCCGTAACCTGCCACAAGTAAAACAGGGAGACACCGGCAGCCAGTGCCCTGCTGCTGTAAAAGTTGTGAATATACACTTGAGAGATTCCAGGACCCCTCTTGCATTTCCTGGTCCATACCTGTAGAAGACCAGGAGACTGTATAGTTGTATTGTGGACTTGTTTCCAGCACTGTACAGAGGGTATTCAGCTCTGTCTTTTAATCATCAATCCCTGGCACTGCAGTTTCTTGGACCAGACAGGCTTCTGCCTGAGTTGGACTTGGCTAAATTTCCATTCAGAATAGAAGCTGATGCTACATTCTGATCAGTAGCCCCTTATGAGTCCAGGCCTGGGCCTTTCCCAGTTCTTCCCAATAAACCCTCCACTCTGACTCTATTCCAGTGCCAGGACAGTAGACTTTGTTCCATTGTATCATCCTGTTCCTGACCTGCAGCTGTAATCTTCCCCTGCCCTGAGACCCATGTCAAGGGCCCTGGCCGTGGCCATCTAGTCTGGCTTTCTGTGTTCCAGGAAAATTAATAAGGTCCTTTTTGAGCCCCATGCATACTCCAGATCCTCAGATCTGAGCATCTGAGACCCCTGTCCTGTTAGCCTGCTTGGTTAGACCTCAGCACTGTGACTTATTGAGTACTGAACAGCCAATAAAGAATTTGCCAGCCAGCTAGCTGCTACTCAGGAGCCATGTTTGCATCATTATGACTTTTGTTTCAGAGCATTTCAATATGAAACTAGGATGACCCATAATTCTTACCTGTACTCTCTCACACACACCATGCTTAATGGCTTCCTTGCTTTCTAATATTTCTCCCAGAAATCACTTGTATGTAGTTGAGGGAATTATGTGCAGAGTTTCTGTTAGTCCTGGAAGGCTGCTTTGATGCCTGTGTTCCCAAATCCCATGCTGATCTTAAAAATTCTGGCATCACATTTAAGAAATGGGAGTTGAGATGCTCAAGACAGGTCATTAAAGATCATTAACTTTAATAGAAGGCATGTGCCTAAACCCCCAGACTCCCTTTGGCAATCTCCAGTGGGAATCCTCTGTTATACCTCTGGCTGGGAACGGGCTTACAGTGAATGGTGTTTGTTTCCTTTTCCCTTTTTTCCCTTTGTATTTTACACAGCAAGGAACGTGCTGCTGCTGCAGGGACAGCTGGCTTTGCAGGCGGACACCATCGAGAAGCATGGGCTACAAAAGGGCCGTCGTACGAGGACTTGTACACCCAGAATGTTGTCATCAGCATGGAGGACCAGGAGGACCTTAGTCGGCAGGCAAATGAAGGGAAGCCGGCCAGGGAGAGACCCATTTGGCTACGGGAGAGCACGGTGCAGGGGGCTTATGACCCCGATGAGCTCAAAGATGGTAAGGGAATGAAAATGGAAGAAAGGCTACCCAATTTCCAGGTGCAGAGAGCAATTGTGTCCCCCCAAATATCTGTGTTGTCATGCTCTTTCTGGGTGGGGTAAAGCAGTTGTAAGTGAGCAGGTGAACAGGCCGAGTGCCGAAGTCTGTCAGGAAAACCTGGCTGCCCATAGCTGTGAGGTTATGCTACTAAAATGTCAGTGACAGTGACAAATGTGTTATCTACTTAAGAACTGTTTGCTTCTGGGTGACAGAGACCCAGCTTCATCTGGAAAGCCACTGGGCACTGCCAAAGTGAGACATGAGTAGCACATGTGTTGAGCCCAAGCACACCAATGCTGCTGGCCAGGTCCTTTCTCTTCTTCTGCAGTCACTTGTTTTATCTGAGTTTTCAAGATATCCATTAGACATGGATGACAGTGCCACAGTAGAAAGGGCTCTGGTGAGTGTGTTAGGAGAATCAGGCACCAGATCATTGCTGCTTCCTCCTTTTGCTACTGTCAGCCATCACCGGTCTTGTGTGTTTATTTGTTCGCTTTTTATTCTTATTTGTATTGCTACAATAAAGTCCAGAGACCAAAGTCAAGACTTTGACACTACGGTGCTGGGCATCGTACAAACACAAAATAAGAGCCCTCTGCTCTGACAACTTTGCAGTCTAATTTAAGAAGAGACATAAAAACATAACATGGTCTACATGTGCTGTTACTTGAAGAAGACTGTTCCAATGAAATAGAAGATTCTCATCTGAGATGTGTGAGAATAAAACTGGTGATGTCTTAAGAAGACAAGATGGCAGAGTGGAACTAAGTGCTTGCTGTCAGGTCTTTCTTGTATTCCTTGGATTTCATTAACAAGGAAGCTGAAACCACTCCTTTCCTGCAGACTGTCTCACAGCAGGGGAAAAGAATGGAACTCCAAACAAGATGGAGAAGTAAAACAGGAAGAAGTCAAAATATTGCCCAGTCATTAGTTAATGGCATTGCATTTCTGCAGAGTCTTTACTATCACTGGACCCAAGCACAGCCTGTAGATAGAGCACTGTGGTGGTAGGGATAGTCTCTCTCCCTGTACTGTGTTGAAGAATTTAGTACTATTTACTCCCTTCCCAAACTCTTGCATAATGCGACTGTTAGATGTTTTTTGACATGTACATGCTTTTAAATCAGAACCTGAGGTCACATTGTGATGGGCTGGTATAAAATCCATGAATAGATGCATCTTGACCACCACTGAAATACAGCCTGTCTGGTGTTGGAATGCAGCACCTGTTTAATTAGCTTAATGGTATCACTGGCCACGTCTACATGAGATGCTGATTGCACGGTAGCTCATTACTACTGCGCAGTAGTGTCACATGGCATAAAGCATGATGCGATGCTGCTGAGCAGTTGTAACGAGCTACTGCACAGTCAGCGTGACCTAAAAGTCGTTCGGTGACACTACTGTGCAGTAATGTTCCCTGATTTACTACCAGATATCTCCCTCTATAGGAACGGTTGTTGAGAAGATTGTGCAAGAAAAGTCCTGGGTTCTAGGCCTGTATGAAGTGGCAAACATTCAATTTGGATTCGGATTCAGCCCATTTGGAGGGACAGGGATTCGGTTCAGAGATTCGAATCACTGTCCTGATTCGATTTGGCTGATTCAGATCCAAAGATTTGGTGCCAATTCAGAGATTCAGCCATGGACTAAACAGGCAGCAGTCCTTACCATGCTGGACACAGCTGTCTCCAGCTGGTAAGTCTGTTGTGGTGGGTTGAGGGCAGGGGTGTGTGTGGGAGGGAGATCAACGCCCCCACAGTGAGGGAGGGATTGGGGCTGGGGCAAACTCCCCTGCCAGGGTGTGGGGAGGAGCTCCCGCCAGTCCAGGAGGGCATGGGAGTGGGCTTGTACCCCCAGATCTGCGTCGGGCAGGCTGGGCTGGACTGTGCTATGGACAGGTGACAGAAGGCACTGGGAGCGGGGGCTATGCCCTCCCGCCAGTTGCCCAGCCTCCCCATGCCTCCTGGACAAGCTGTGGGTTTGCCCTGGCTGGGCAAGCAGCAGCAGGGCATAGGGGCAGGTGTGTGCACTCGGATCGGTGAGGGACCAGCAGCAGGGGCTATGGGGAATTTTAGGGAGGCTGCAGCCCCGCCATAGCCCCTGCTCCACTGCACTTTGTGTGTCAGGGCTGCAGTCTGGGCTGGGGCTAGCCACCCAGAGCACAGCCCTAGCTCCACCTGCCCTGCGGAGCACAACCTGGTGGTGGGCAGTTAGAGCTAGCCTCCTGGAGCGCAGCCCAGCCCAGCCTGCCCCATACAGATCCGGGGGCATACACCCACTCCCATGCCCTCCCAGACCGGTGGCGCATAGTGGTGGGAGCCCCTCTCCCTGAGTCCTGCGCCTCCCCACCCTGGCTAGGCAGCTTGTCCCAGCCCCAATCCCTCCCTCACTGTGGTGGTGTTGATCTGCCCTCCCTACGCCCTGTCCCTCCCCTCTCCCCCCACCACAACAGACTTACCAGCTGGAGGCAGCTGTGTCCAGCATGATGAGGACAGCTACTTGTGTAGTCCATGGCCAAATCTCTGAATTGGCGCCAAATCTTTTCCAAATCCATTTGGAGGCTTCCAGTTTGATTTGGACCTTTTAATTGGTCTCCTGATTTGATTTGGATTCAGAAATTCGGCCGCCAAATCAGGCTGAATCTCCTCCAGATCAAATCAGCTACCAAAGCTTCACACAGCCCTACTGGGTTCCTTTGTGCCTTGTCAGTTTTGTGTTAAGTCTGGCTGTGGAACAGAGGCTTAGGCATCTCGTGTAGATGTGGCCACTGAATAACTGGCTTGCATAAATGATGTCTCTTCATATCTAGAGAAGGCTGTAAGGGGAATTTGTGGAAACAGTATCTTTAATTTTTCCTATTGGAATTTGGCCAAGGTGTACCAGACTTAACACTGCTGTTCTGATGTGGGAGACGCTGGGACCTTTCCACAAGTGGTCAGGGCTTTGGTTTAGATCTCGTCCAAAAGGTCAATCTGTCCAGCTGTCTTGCACTTAACATTGTGCTTCAGTGCATGCAATGAAGAGCATCCACTGCTTCCTGCAGTCCCTGTATTTCTTTCATGAGAGGTACAAGGGTTGAGCCAGAACTCTGTTTAGACCAAGGTGTGCTGAAAGTCGGAAGTGCCGCAGATGCGCAGGTAGTGTTTCCATCTCATTATCTGATAGCACTGCTAAGATGCCCTCAGTTTTACTGTCTGGTATGTTACTATGCTCACCTCTTACAGACAGTAGGTATCACTGCCTGTTCTTCCTGATCTGCAGCTACGCCCCTGACTGCTGTTACCAGCAGTCTGGCACCATGGCGCCTTCACCCACCACACAACCCACACAGATCTCCATGGTTCTTTGGTGACAATGACATGCAGCAGAAAAAGGCAGGAAGGAAGAAATTTTGGACCTCATTGGCAGAAAACATTAGCTGGTACTGTCTAGCACAGAGAATTTTTACAAACTTACACCACTACTGTTTAGGAAACGAAGGGAGCTCACTTCTGAATGATACAAGCAGCAACATCACATTTCACAGTACCCTTCCAGGTTGTAAGCCATTCGGTAAAGCTGGGCTTCGAGAGCAGCCACACAGAAACCTCTGAGTAACCTCTGGAACTCCAGGAACAAGCAGCTGAACACAGAGCTGTAAACAAAATGCCCTCCTTCCAAGACTATGCCCTCTTTGCCAAGTCATGGAAGTGCTAACAACAATCCAGGCCCTTCCCATCTTCCCTGACTGGCAAACATGAGTACACAACACCTGAGTCGTCTACTGTAACAAAGCTGATCAACACCACACAAAGAACATAGAACACCAACTGGTAGCCTTCAGTGACAGTGACATCGCTCAAAAAGGTATGGCTGCAAAAAATATCTTCTTCCACTTCCAACTGCCTGGGAAACTCCCAGACTCTACTGAAATCCACACACACATTGTATGTATTTAGATCTTCAGCCTTGTTTGTTGTACGCCATCATACACTGCAGTAAGACCTTACACCATGTGTGTCTTCTAGTGTGCTGGTCTTTGCACTGGCTCCCTGCTAAATAGTTCCTTTCAGAAGTGGCTTGGATGCTCAAAACTCTCGACAGGACTGACCCTAGTTTCCTGAGGCTTGCATCTTCTCTCAGCAGACCTTTTTCTGACAGCACTATTCCACAAACAGAGAACGGTCAAATAAGGACTGAGATACAAGCGCAGAAGACAGGATTTTTGCTGAAGCTCAGATCTGAATTCAGTCCCACAAAAGAGAAGTGACCAAGACCTCATGTAGCTTAGTTTTTCCTCAATGATTTCCTTTCACAAATTTGCACTCCCTCCTCCTTACCACATACCAAAAAAACCAAAACAGATGACCCAATGGTAAGTGCTGTTTTCTCCTAAGAGGTTGGACAAAGCATAATTCATGATTTGGTTTTTAAGCAGTTTTGGAGGCTGTTGAGTGTTAGTGTGAGGCCTGAAGGTAGAACCTCAGTAGCTAGAATTCGTCTAAAGGTCATCGAGGGCTTGTCTGAGCAGGAGGGCAAGGGGCTTTAGTGTTTAATGGCAGAATCCAGTTGGCTCAGCTCAAGTGATCATTCATATTCAGAGTCTCTTGATGTAAGAGGATAAATTTGGTGGGGGGAATTTGTCCTAGTTTTTGTCCCTTCATTTCACATAAGATTCTTAAAAATCCTTTAAAAAAATAATTCTGGTTTTTTTTCCAGACCACCTGGGGGTTTACTTGTGTTGGGTGGACTCCAGCTCTCAACCAACATAGGAATCTGATAAGAGGTGGTTTTTTGGAGCTTTTCTGTAGCAAAGCCTTCATTTTAATGGAATGTTGTATTTGAGTCCTTGAACTGTAGACATCTTGCTTATCCAAACAGTGTCAAATCCTTTCAGCTACTGAACAGCAAAGCTTGCTTAGGTGAGATACAGGCCACACATCTCTCAGCTGGGGCACTGCAATCCTGCAATTCAAGTGAGGTACAGCTAGGAAGCAAGACATAAGCCCAACCATTACAGAGGATGTCAGCTTGGAAAATAGTGGTCCTTTGAATACAGTCTTTGCACACTCGGCAGCATACGCCTTAAAGGAGCTACCTAATTCCATGTGCCCTGGAGGATGGATGCCATTGAATAACACTGAGTTCCTGTGACAACTTTCCCTTAATGCATAGTAGTGCTGCTGCTTTTCATACTGACAAATATTGCCTCGTTATTTCCTAGTAACTCTGTCTGTCCACGTTCGTCTGGACTCTTCTGTCTGATAGTCGGATTGTGAGATCTGTGGGAGCTACTGTCATTTTTGTTTTCTGTTTTTGTAGCATGCAGCATGGACCAGTGCTTGGATGCACTATGGTTATTCATAGCAAATAACTAGTTATAAAAGGCCAAAAGAACCATGTTTGTGTGTATATACGTTTATATTTATTTGTTTTAACATTAAAACTGTCCTTACTTTTCTCTACCAGGTGATCCTAAAGTCTAGGGAGCCATAAATTTAGGCTGCCAGAATATTATAGTAATTGTAGTGCTCAGCCCTGAACCTCCCTTCTCTAAAAGAGAAGCCTCTGCCTGCCCTATTCTCCATTCCCCTTGTTCATGGGGTTCTATATGGTGTCTTGGGACTTGGGTATATCCCAGAATCCTTTGCATTTCCAGCCATTGCACTTCCTTTGTAGCACTGCTGTTACCAGTTCAAGGATGGGTTTGGAGAAGTGGTCTGGCAATTACCTGTTGAACGATGTGCAATAGCAACAGCATTTATGCATTGAGATCACGTTCCTCAGACTGACAACACTTCCATTGGATCTTGCTCTTGGGGCAGCTAGCGCTGGCGCTAAGCTATTGAGGCACATGGGCCTGGAATTTGGAAGCCAAGTTTCAGAGCCCATGAGTAACTTTCCATTGAGCTTTCCTGAAGCTCTGCCACCTGGGGACAGATGTCTGTCTGTCCCAGCCCCTCTGTTATTAGTGTGATAGCACTGAGAGCCAACCATTCTTTCCTGGTTTTTTGCAGGTGGTCGGGATCTGGACACATTCCAGGAGCGTGAGGATGGTCGAGCAGCTCTGGACGATAATGAGGAGGTGATGCGTGCCCTGCTCATCCATGAAAAGAAAACCCCCTCTGCTTCAGCCGCCGCAGTGGGAGGTGGTGCTGCCATCTCGAGTGCCAATGCCAGCGACTCTGAGAGCGAGACAAGCGAATCAGAAGAGGAGACCCCACCCCGCCAGCCTGTTGCCACAACAATGTATGGGCTAGAGGATGAAGAGGATGATGAGGAGTTTGAGGAGGTGACAGAGGAGCCCACGCTCATGGTGGCAGGACGTCCATACTCATACATTCAAGTGAGCCAGCGCCCCGAGCTGGTGGCCCAAATGACCCCAGAGGAGAAAGAGGTGTATATAGCCATGGGGCGGCGTGTGTTCGAGGACATGTTTGATTAACCTGTTTTCTGCCATGGCAGCTTTTAAAAAGACAGATTTTAATAAGAGACTCCATAGCGAAACAAAAGACCAAACTGCATCTCTCCCTCCCCTGCAGAGTTGCTCATGCAGGGGCTGGGGGGGCTTGGAACAGCTCATCTCAGGCATCTTGTCCACTGACGTGGGACTTAAAACTGTGTATGCCAAAAAGGGACAGGGCCATGGTGGGTGCGTGTGTGTGTATGTGAGAGAGAGAGAGAGAGAGTGTGTATGTTGAATGAGAAAGTTTGCAAAATAAAATTCCTCTTCAGGGCTACCCAGGCTAGTTGCTGCTCTGCCTCTGCCTCCTGGCTCAATAGCTACCTCCTCCCCCTGAGAGTGTTTGGCCTATTCTTTACAGCAAGCCGGAGGGCCGAGCCTAAAGAAATCTTGGTCCATGCTCTTGGAGGACTGGAGCGCTCTGTGTCCAGTGAGGCCTCTCTCCTTAACATTGTAAAGAGGAGAGAGTGAGTCATGACAAGACTGTGAATGCTGTGAGAGGCTCTAGATGCAGGGGTGTGTGAACAGGCAGTTAGTTGAACATGACTTGGCTTATGAAACTGGCATAGTGAGGTAGTGATCCCATTGCTGGTGACAGTCATGCACCGGTGGGTCTATTTCAGAACAGCTGTATGTCTCTTTGCTTCTATCCTGTGCCCTCCTAACAGGCCTCTAGCACAACTTTTTGCCTGGGTATGTAGCCATAACTTACTGTGACACAGCCATGCAGCTTGGGCCCAACCATGTATTTTGGCCAAGTTGTGTTTAAGATGGTTTCCCAACACAACCAGGAGCCCAGGAGCAGACAGCCCAAGATGCTGTAGTTGTGTCTGAGAGTGCAAATGGGAGACTTTGCAGATTCATGGGAAAAGAGTGGGAGGCGAAGGCTCTGGAAAGGAATTGACCCTTCTCTGGTGAAACTTACGTAAAGGTCTTGGGTTTCCAACCTCTTTGTTTTAAAGATCAGAGAATTTAGCCTTCTCTTTGGAAGGACCAGTCTGTCCGTGTTGCTCTCCCTTTTTCACCTGCCTCCATCCTCCCTAGACAGACACAACTTGCGCACACAGGGAGGCCACGGGGACCTCAGGGTAAACACCTTAAAAGTGACCTGATGTTCTGAGGTGCTTTCATAGCATTTCACCAGATGCCATTGGTTCTCAGCACTTCAAGGTCAGGCGTAACTTGAAGCGCCCAGTTGTGACTTGCTTGGCTCAGGCATGCATTTGCTCATTGTCAGTGTAACAAAACCCTTCCAAGGATCCAAGCACTGACTCGCCAAGAGAATTCCTTGAATATACTGTCACTGCTCTCTGCCCCAGTCCAAGCCCCAGCATTGCAGACTGAGCTCACAGCCAGACAGCACCAGGGAACCAGCATCACTAGGTTTATTTTCACCCAGATCTAAGGGGTTGAATAATAATTGTAAAAGGAATTATGCTGAGATGTGAATCCTGATGTTTAGCATGGCACTCACTAGTCAAATAAAAACCATTTTACCAGTGCCTCTCTAGCAATATCATATTTGTAATGTTTTATCTTTCAAGTGTTGCTTTTTTAATTGTTGTGTTTTTCTTATCCAGTGCTACTGTAAGACAGAGCGATGAAAGGAGTTTGTGATGCAGAGCTTAGAGGCTGTATCAAGTGCTGTTCGATTGACAGGGATGGTACAGCTTTGCTGAGAGCTTAAGCAGTAGAGCTGTTTTTTTACTGACTGCTTCATGTTTTGCGAGCCCTGTGACACCTTCTTTGTGGTTTTATTTTCGGCCTCTTGATATTTTACTCCCTTTAAAAATAGTGTTTTTAAATTTGCTTCTGTCTAGGCCTTTTAAAAAAGGAACTAATAAAATGATGGATCTCTTCACAGTCGTCTCCTCTTTGCTCTATTGGTCACTCGATTGGAATTGTTGGGGCTGTTAGTTTGCGCTGTGTTTTCTGATCTGTTTATTTAAAAGAAGATGACTAATTTAAGATCAGGCTAAGTTGTACTCTTCGAAAGGCTTCCAGCTTCTTCCAAACCATAGCCTTGCATCAGTCTCTCATTAGCAGCTCTTCCTCAGATGTCTCCCAGAATCCTTTGCCCCCATTTCTGTAGCATTTCATTAGTCTGAAGCCATGGCTGGTTTCTTTTATCAGGCAGTCTGTGGTCAACACTCCTATTTTTTTTCCTTCTTCACTGAGGAAGGTGCATACTGGTGAAATAGTGGCTCTCTTACAGTTTTCTCACTGCCAGTTTAAATAGCTATATTACATAGAATATGAAGTAAGACATGGATATCAAACTGAAGTGATGTCAAGTCGTACCAAATAGCTGAGAGAATGGAGCTATACAGATTTCAGCAGGATAGAATACAAGGCTGATATTGAATATAAGCAATTGTATGTGGTGGGAACCACTGCTAGAAACTGCAGATCTGGCCTTGAAAGGACTGAAGTTCTTATGCCCGTAACTCATGGAAGAAGCTTCCATTAAGCTTTCAGTGTTCGCAGATAAAGGGCCCGTGATGGTTACCGCTTTAGTGAAGGAACCGTGTGCTCCATTATGACATCAATCAAAAAGCATGCAGCAGTCCATAAAAACAGGTTATGCTTAGTGTGTGTCACTACAGCTAATGATGTAAGGAAATAAAGATTTTTTTTTTGATCTACAATTTCTTGGCTTTCAGCAAGATATCCCAAACATAGTAGCAACAGACTGACAGTAGGGAATTAGTCTGGTGGCTTAGGGGGTGCTCCTGACATTTCTGGCCCACCAGTGGAGAGGCCGTGCTGCTAGAAAGCTGGAAACAGGATGTGTGAGCAGGGGATCCAGTATACAGACCTTTCTTCTTTCTTCTAGCAGCAGCTGCATCCCAGCTAGCTGAGGACTGCTGTGCAATAACACTGAGCAGTTATTGCCCTGTTGTGGGAAATGTTCTAATGAATTGGAGGATAGAGTTGATGGCATTTTTTTAAAACGTACTACTTGTAGGAAGGTTATACATTCACGCCATTGCTGAGAGTGACATGCCAACCAGTAGTAGCTGGGAGACCTATAAGTCAGATCTTTTCAACTTCTGAGCAGCTGAGGGACCCTGCCTCTACCCCAACCTGATCCTCCTTCCCCAACAGCAGCAGGAGTGGTGGGAAGAGCAGCAGCTGAATGGGAGACCACAGACTGCCAGTTAGACAGCCCTGCTATAAACAAAATGAGGACAAGGACAGGATTTAAACCCCCCAAACTTGCCTCTATCAATTGGACTTGCTCATTTAATCACAATCCACTGCATTCTGTCACTTGTCACCTACTTACATGTCCACCCTGCACAAATGCCCCTTGAAAATCTACTGCACCCAAACTGAGTCTCCCCTTCCTGACATGCTTTAGTCTCTGATGAATTCCTGGCCATAGTGAACCTCGAGAAGAAGAGGGAAATAAATCTGTTTTCTTAGGTACTTATGCAGCCAGTCATTAGAGTACCAAAGCTTTGGATATCTGTCTGTTAGTTGAGCTGCCTGTATCATTTTTGTTCTAATGTACAGAATATCATAAGACCAGTAAAAAACACCAATCCCAGCTGTCACGCTCTGGGAAAGCGACATTTCCATCACAGATAAGTGCTGCCTTCCCAGCTTAAAATTAACTTGCCTCCCTCAGACAGGCTAATCGCAGGCCTAAGCAAAGCAACCACGCTGGCTTTCTATTCAGAGAGGTGGTATCATCACTTGGGAATGGAGGAGTGTTTGGATTTATTTCACAAGACATCCCAAGCAGCAGCTACGTGGACTGGAATCGGTGCCTGTCCTTCTATCTTATATTTCCCTGTGCTGCTGTTTTCTTCAAGCAGGTTCTACTGTAGCAGATTGCTGCTTGGCTAGAGCCAGGAAAGTTGGAGATCCCCTGGAGGAAAGGCGGAAGAATAGAATTACCCCCTCCCTGAAAGATGTAAGAACCTCAACTCCATGATGCCTGGAGGCGCAGGGCTTGCTGCTGAGATGTTTGACAGGGCCTGGTGCGGGGAAAGCAAAAGGCTAAGCTCTTGCTTCTCTCCCCTGCTGACCCCCTGTAGGGAGGGGGAAGTCGTAGGGAACAGATGAAGCATAAAGCAGGCTGCTTTTATCAATGAAATGGAAAGTTTACAGCATGGGTAGGAGGGGGTAAGCTGGACCACCCACGCTTCAGCTGGGAGGTAATGCACTTGGATTTTCTTTCCTTAAAATGCTCCATTAAGCAGGCCACCGAAGCAGGATGGGTGCCAGAGCTGTTGACTGCCATGGGCTGGCATCCCGATCTTTTGCAACCTACCTGGGTAGAACTGTGGTGTTGTGATGGAGATAATCCCTAAAACTGAGGGGAGTGCCTCACTGCTCTACAGTCTCCTGAAGACCCATATTTTTAGACCCAGTATAATCACGGGGCAGGCTTGATGGCATGAATGTAGTCATTAACTGCCAACACTGTGAGCATCTCAGCCCGGGCACGGAAAGGAGCAGCAGAATTCCAGTGTCCTCCACTCCCACCCCCTGTCTAGAGTTATAATCTAGCTGTGAAAAAAGAGGAAAACAATGTGGCCTGAGGATGTGCTGGGAGGCGTGAGGCAAAAAGCGAGGGGGGAACACCTTGGAGTTGCTACCTATGCTGCAAGGAAGACTTGTATCCACTCCTCTCCCTTCAGCCCTGTGGATGAAGGTGAAGAGCAGCCCCTGCCTGCTGAGCTCATTTTCTGGAATGGGAGGGTAGTCAATAATTATAATGGCCAAGCAGTTCATCAGTAAAAACAGTCTGCCAACTGAGTATAATTTTCTTTAGGAGTCCCCTGGAAACTGATGGTTTTCATCACCCACCCCCCGTGGAAGAAACATCAAGGCAAGGCCCTGGCTTCAGTGGGACAGAACCCACAGGCCTAAAACTGCCTGGCTGAAGTGTGACCCCCGATACTGGTGGAAAGGCCACCTCACCACCCTCCTACTCCATTGCCACATCAGTCAGTGTGTCAGCCACTTGTTCCAAACATCTCCAACACCGTGACCTTGTATTTCAGGTTGGCTCAGGTTTTTCCTTTTCAGAACCATAGAATCATAGAAGATGAAGGTTGGAAGGGAATTCAGGAGGTCATCTCATCCAACCCCCTACTCAAAGCAGGACCAGCCCCAATTAGATCAACCCAGCCAAGACTTTATCTAGCCAGGTCTTAAACGCCTCCAAGGATGGAGCTTCCACCACCTTTCTGGGTAACCTGTTCCAGTGCTTTACTGCCCTCCTAGTGAGAAATTTTTTCCTGATATCTAACCTAAACTTACCTTGCAACTTGAGACCATAGCTCCTTGTTCTGCCCATGATCCAGGGCTCACTTGCCCTATGGCTTCCAGGCTCCCACTGCTGCCCCTAGACTCCTACCACCATCCCTTGGCCCTGCCACCAATGCCAGATCCACCACAGCTGCCGCTGTCCCTGCAGATTGGGCCTGGGAGATGCTGCATGGTTCAGGTCTGGCCTGGGGTAAGTTTGACATCCCTGGTATAGAGGAGTCTTGGCTTTTTCCTGTTTGGACGCTTCAATGAACATAGCCACCGGAAGGCCGATAAATTAACTGTTTATCAGAGTTAATTTGAAAGACAGAGACAGAGCTTCATGTGAAAAAAATAACAATATTTACAAAAAGCAGTTTTGGGGAACTCCTAGGCTGTAAAAATGACCTGAGGACAGCAGGCAGCATGATTCTGCAGGTCCGCACTGTTGTGATGGCAGCACACCCAGAGTCATCGTGTAACTGCAACAGGGGTTTTCTTTTCTAAATACATTTCTGAATATAATTTCCAACCTTTTGAATAGTCTGAGCCTAATGAATCAGCCAGGGATGGCATAGAAGAGGCAGATCCAGCCGCATACTAACTGCTTCAGCTCCACTGCAGTGCGTTACAGACACTGCACTCTACCTCAGCTACACGCAGTGCCTGGAATACACAAGTCCTGGCACAAGCTGGACAAATCAGCAGGAAGAAACCTTGGGCTGATTTCTCACAGAAGCAGGCAGAGTGGATTCATCTTTCAGATGAAAGCTGGTCAAACACCGTTCTATACGTGCTACCTCCATACGGGGGGAAAGCCACATCACACAAGCAGGAAAGGAGAGTGTCACATGCAATCGTGTAAGGGTGCCTTTGCTGCTCTTGTTTGTTTTTCACCTGGAATCCACCATCCTCAGCTTCTCACATCCCAACCAGTTGCTGTAGAAATAAGGATGAGAACGAGGGTAATTATACTGTGAGCTAAAATTGTGAGCGGGGCTGGGAAGTCCGGTTCAGATAAACCCGCCTCCTTCTCAAACTTTAGTGTTTCTAGCCATCTGACAATCCAAATCCGTTCCTTGCAACTTCAGATTTGCCCAATACTGCAAAACACTCAGGTGTTTTATTTTGGTTCTCCAATACCCTCTTGATGTAAAATGCAAAACTGGAGAGTAAGGGCAGTGGAAAGGCATTTTCAAATGCCAGGTGGGTTACTGAATCTTTCACTTCCAGGTTGCTGAATGACATGCACCCTGGGTCCAGAGCCAATGTGTGGGAATGCTAAAGCTGGTAAAAAACACAGACATCGGTCTCTAGTTGAATAATTTTAATTGAGTGGTTTGTTGAATTTTCACCATTATATGTACTACATTAGCAGCCAGGATCATTGTTTACACGTCAGGACTCCATAGATAAAACCTCTTAAGTCTTTACTTCAGCTACATCCCTGCACAGTGAAGTGAGGCTTTGCCTTGGGATTGGGGAGCCATAGTGGCTGGCAGCTTTATGACAGAATGGCAGTGGGACTAGGACTCCCTTAGACTGCCTTCCCTTACCACTTGTAGAATTTGAAACCAGTGCTCCAGATGGAGAAAG